GAATAAGGCCCGCTACAATGCTGAGAAATTCAGGGTTCGCTAAGAAACCTTGCTAAGCAGTTAGAGTTTACCCTTTAAAAAGGCTTGAAAAAATAGGGTGTGTTATTTACAAAACCCTGCACAATCAGGGTAAGTACCGAGAAACTCCCTTTTTTTTTTCTGAATCAGGAATTATTTCCTGACTTCTCGAGGCCTCGAAATACAAACGATGCCCAACGTTATCGCAGCTCAACCTGGCGCCCAATCAGAATCGTTTCCCAAAACCCCCGATATACGGGCAATGGGAGATCCATTTGAGTCACTCATGATTGTGTCTGCGACCAACATAGAGCAAGGGACAAGTCGTTGCCGACGAGGTTTCGTCGCCACGGAACTGTGCACTCCCGTCGCCTGATCGCTTTGGAAGAGTCGCACACTAGCAACAAACATTGCCACACAAGCCCCGCCACAAATACCCACCCATTTCGCCGTCTGCTCGTGCGAAAGCCTCTTTCCCCGTGGCGAGGGCATGCGAAATACTTGAGCGATTGAATCCCTGGCACCCTAAAATCTTGTGCGACTCTGACGGGCTTTGTTTGTAGCATGTATATTTGGCAGCATGGTACTGTAAAGAATTGAGGATGAGGAAATTGCGCGCTTCGACGAAAATCAAGAATGGTTCAAAACAATCGACCCTTTTTGCGCGCGATGTATGTCATGCCCTCGTTACCCAAAACGGTCGACCCCCTCGACTGTAACCGTTTTCGTTTTGATGTATAGAATATTGGAAATGTAATTTTGGGTCGCTGTGAAAATATTTGCTGGATCCCGACTCAGTTGCTGCGCGACATGCATTTAAAATCTGACAAAAATCGAAGCGCAGGTGTCGGGGCTTATGTCTGGTTTTTCAGGCACCCGTCAGATCCGGGTATCTGGCCAAAGCTACCCATCAGAATCCGTGTTCAGCATTCTGTTCTGTCAAAATTTACCCATCAAATCCGAGTTTCACGGCCAGTTCTGCCAAAATTCACCCGTCAGAATCCGGGTTCAAACCCTGTTCTTAGAAACGTTCCCCGTCGGAATCCAAGTTCAGCGAAAACCTCACTCGCTATTTTGTCGAAATCCGGACGTTGTGCCCAGAATGATTGCGCGTGCCTTTTTCGAATGCCCCAGCCCTTAATGTGCCATCATTGTTTGTTGTATTACCCCTTCTTGTACCCTACACATGTTGCCCAGACCAGTTGCCCCGAAAAAACGTAGTGGCATCTGAACCCAACACGAAAACGGGTACAGTCGGGGGGGTCAACCATTTTGGGTAATGTGGGCATGCCATACATCGCGCAAAAAGGGTCGACCGTTTTGAACTATTGGAAATATCTCAATGACTTAAGCGTTTCTGAAGTGTAACACTACACTCGAGGAAGATCGTAACGAGTACGCAAGTCAACGGAGGTTACACGAGGGGATGGACAAAGAACACAAAAGGGCTCGAAGGGTCGCAACCGGAGGTTGCTGTTAGAAACAGAAAGGTTCAGTTTATTGATGAAGCAAAGGCATTACATAGGAAGAGAGGGATGAGCTAGGAAGGGAAGGTTGGAAGGGAAAGGGGGGTTAGGACCAATCACAAGGGAGGGAGGGTTCTTCCAAATATGGTTGACCACCAGTTGGAGGTGGTCCAAGTGTGGTGTACCACCAGTGGTTTAGCCAACCCACTTGTGGTGCCCCCACAATTGTGGTCCTTGTGTTTGGGGGCTCCAACCACAATTGGGTTGGATTGACACCCCAACACAGGTGTACACCCAACTAGGGTTGTAAACACAATATACACAACTAGCATAGCATGGTATATTCTAACACAACCCCATAGCATGCAAAGCTAGTGTATATGTAGGGTACAACCCCAGAATCAGGAAGGGGGGCGGGGCCCAAGGCCGAGAAGGCGGAGGAGGGCAGAGTGCGCGGTCTTCGGGAGGGCCTTGGTGAAGATGTCGGCCAAGTTGGCCTCTGCAGCGATCTTGCGGACCACCAAGTGGCCTTGCTGGACCAACTCTCGAACGAAGAAGTAGCGGAGTTCAATGTGCTTGGAGCGGCCATGGAAGACAGGGTCCTTTGTGAGATGGATGGTGCTGGCGTTGTCGCACCAGAGAGTGGGACAGCGCTGAGGAGCACCGATCTCAGCAAGGAGGAAGGTGAGCCAGCGAGCCTCCTGAGCGGCCATGGTGCAAGCATAGAGCTCAGCCTCGCAGGATGAGAGGGCGATGGAGGAGGAGCGAGTGGAGCGCCAGCTGATGAGGCCGCTGCCAAGGGTGAAGCCGTAGCCTTGAAAGGAACGGCGATCCGGCTGGGAGTCAGCCCAGGAGGAGTCACTGAAGCCAGAGAAGAGGGGAGGAGAAGAGCCTCCGAGGGTGAGGACATAGTCCTTGGTACCACGGAGGTAGCGGAGGACCCGCTTCGCTGCAGCCCAGTGCTCATCAGTGTGGCGACCGGTACCGACGAATCGAGCAAGAACACTGATGGGGTAGGCAAGGTCGGGGCGGGTGCACATCATAGCGTACATCAGCTAACCGACGAGCTCAGCGTAAGGATGGTCAGAGGAGGAGGGAGCAGGAGGAGGGGCAAGCTGGTGGTCGGTCTGCAGGGGAGTGGTAACCGGCTTGGCCTGCGCCATGTCGAACCGCTGCAAGACTTGGTCGATGAAGAAGGACTGAGAGAGGGTAATGGTGCGCGATGTGCGGTCCTGGGTGATGGTCATGCCCAGATAGTGCTTGAGCTCACCCAGGTCCTTGCACTTGAGGCGCGCATGCAGGGCGTCCTTCACTTGCTGCATGGCGGCAGCATCGTCAGCGAACAAGATCATGTCGTCGACATACACCAGGATGAAGAAGCGGGTGGGAGAGGAGCGAAGGAAAAGGCTGGCATCAGACTGAGAGGCATGGAACCCCAAGGACTGCAGAGTGGCGGCCAGCTTGTTGTGCCACTCGCGAGGAGCCTGCTTGAGGCCATAAACCGGGCGGCGCAGCTCCCAGACTGTGTTGGGAGGGAAGGCTGCATGAAAGCCTGGAGGCCGCCGCAAGAGGACCCGCTCCTGGAGCTCGCCTTGCAGGAAGGCGTTGGAGACATCCATGGAGGCAATCTCCATGCCAATGCGAACAGCATAGTCGAGGATGGCACGGAGAGTTGGGAGCTTGGCAGTGGGAGAGAATGTCTCCCAGTAGTCGATGCCATGGGTTTGGGTGAAGCCCTTGGCACAATACCGGGCCTTGTAGACCGGCTCCTCACCCGGCAGCTGCTTCACTCGGAACACCCACAGGCCTTCAACAATGACGTCGTCAGGAGAGGGGACAATGTTAACGAATGAGGCATTGCGGATGAAGGCCTCGCATTCAGCAAAGATAGCCTGGATCCACTTGGCAGCATCGGGACAGGTGATGGCCTCAAGGAAGTTGTACGGAGTGAATCTGGTGGGAGCGGTAGCGATGCCAAGGATGAGGAGGCCAAGGAAGCCCGGGTAGAGAGGCGTGAGGGAAGGTGTTTGTTGCTGAACGCCAATGAGCTCCTCATGGGAGTCCTCAATGAAGGGAAGGGAGGGTGGGGGTGGTGTTGGCCAACCCCATGGATGGCCTATGAGTGGGCCGTGAGAGCGAGTGTGGATGCGTGGGAGGATGAACGGAGAGGTGGTGCGGCGATGCCGATGAGGTTGCTGCAGTGGCTGCTGCTGCTGCTGCTGCTGCTGCTGCTGCTGCTGCTGCTGCTGCTGCTGCTGCTGCTGCTGCTGCTGCTGCTGCTGCTGCTGCTGCTGCTGCTGCTGCTGCTGCTGCTGCTGCTGCTGCTGCTGCTGGTGCTGGTGCGATGAGGCAGAGTGAGCAGGGGAGTCAAGGACAGCTGGGTCGTAAATGTCACCTGAGGAAGGAGGAGGGGGAGGAGCAGGATTTGGAGGAAGGAGGGGAGCCTGGGGAAGGAGTGGGGGAATGACAGCATCAGCCCAGGTGAGGGGGCGGGAGAGAGGAGGAAGGGGGTCGGAAGGCGGAACAGAATGATAGAACGGGATGCTCTCATCGAACACCACGTCACGGCTCTGTAGGAGGCGGCCTGAGGACGGGTGAAGGAAGAGGTAACCAGGGGCAGAGCGAGCGTGGCCAAGGTAGACACACTCAATGGCCTTGGAGGCGAGCTTTCCTGCCTGCTGAGAGCGGTCAGGTGGGGGGATGAGGACATATGCCTTGCAACCCCAGATACGGAGAATGGCAGCATCTGGCTTGGTGCTAGCCCAGAGCTCAGTGGGAGTGACAGACTGGCGTTGAGGATGTGGGTAAAGATTAGTAAGGAGAGCAGCATGGACAAGGGCATAGCCCCAAAGAGAAGGGGGCGTGGAGGCATGAGTGAGGAGGCAGCGGGCCGTCTTGGTGATCTCACGAATGCGACTCTCAGCAACACCGTTCTGCTGAGGGGAGTGGGGAAGGGTATGAGTCTGCTGGATGCCATGGGTTGAGCAGTAGGAGGAGAGGGTGCGGTTGAGAAACTCACCACCGCCGTCGGAATGGAGGCGGCGGATGGGGCAACCAAAGTGGACTCGGCACTGCTCGGCCCAGGTAACGATAACAGCAGGGGCCTCGGCCTTCGTGTGGAGGAGGAACACCGAGGAGTACCTGCTGTGGTCGTCGACTAGGACAAGCATGTACCGGTGCCCTTGGTGGGAAGGGGAAGGGTTAGGGCCCCAGAGGTCCATGTGGACGAGGTCAAGGGGGGCAGCAGCAAAAGAAGGATGACTGAGGTGAGGCTGTTGTTTGAGCTTTCCATGAATGCATGTGGCGCATGGGGGAGCGGAAGAGGACGGGAGGGGAGGAAGAGTGGGGGGAAGACCGTCAAGCAAGCGGGAGGAGACAGCTTTACGAAGTGTGGAAAAGTTCATATGACCAAGGCGATGGTGGATGAGAACAGCGGGGTGGGACAGTGCGCGACAAGAGCATGGGGGGGAGGTGGAGTTGGAGGAAGGTGGCTCTAGAGGGAGGGGAGGGGGGAGAGTGGAGGTGCCTCCACGAGTGGTCACATGGCATGAGGAGGGGCGGGGTGTGCGGAGGATGTACTGACGAGAGCGAGGGCAAAGTGGGAGGCGATGAAGGAGGCGGCGAGTGGGGCCATGGAGGAGGTCACAGTAGGTGGCAGAGGCGGGGAAGAGGGTAGTGATGCCAGCCTGTTGGAGTTCACGAATGGAGAGCAGGTTATGACGAAGGGAGGGAATGTGGAGACCAGTGACCACTCCAGAGGGGAAGGGGGGGCAGGGGAGGGTGGAGAGATGAGTGCAAGGGATGGAGAAGCTGGAATCAGCACCATGAACGTTGGTGGGGAAAGGGAGGGAGGTGAGGGTGCCGGCGTCTTTGAGGGCAGTTTCAGTGGCACCACTATCGAGAACAAAGTCAATCGTGAGCGAGGAGGGAGCTGAAGACACGGGGTACTGGAAATCACTGGCATTAAAAACAGAGGGATACATGGAAGTGGAAGCAGGGGAAGAACGCATGAGCTCGCCTAGAAAGCTGGAGTGGGAGGCGGGAGCACTAGGGGAAGGAGAGCCCCAGAGGGGAAAGCCAGGAGGACCTGGTGTGGCTGTGGCAGCCATGGCGGCGGTGCCAAAGCCAAGCTGCTGCTGCTGCCATGCAGATGCTGCGGCTGCGGCTCCTGCAGCTGCGGCTGCAGCCTGACCACCAGAGCCCCACTGCTGCTGCTGCTGCAGCAGCTGCAGCTGCTGGAAGCGGCGAAAACTGCTGCAGCTCCTGGGGAGTTATGGGGTCAGCGACAGAGGAGGAGGAGGAGGAGAGCTGAAGATGAGAGGGGAGGAAAGACGGAAGAGTTTTGACATCCTGGAGAGAGGGGCGGGGATCCATGGCAGACCAGCGTGAGGGTGTGCCAGTGTTGCCGCGCTCGAACCAGGCGTCATCATACGCCTTGAAGCAGGTTGCGGGGGGATGGTTGGTTTGGGTGCAGCGCTCACCCGCCCTGGGACCAAAACGGCGAAGATAGGAACATGGGGGGAGAGTGCCAGGGCGGCCACCACGGCTACCAGATGAGCCACTACTGCCTCCACCACCACCACTGCTGCCACCCTCGACCCCGCCACCACCGCCGCCGGCTCCGCTGCCCCCACAACCGCCACCTCCACCCCCTCCCTGAGGGTTGGTGCGGCCGCCACGTGGGCGCCCGCCACGACGCGGCTGTGCAACTGCAAGCTGGGGGTTTTGGGACTCGGTGGAGTTCAGGCCGGAGAGAGGGGGGGGTTGAGAGAAGGCGGGCCTCAGCGTCAATGATCCATTGGACTACAGTGTCAAGGGAGGCGCGGGGCTGAGCCTCAGTGAAGGGAGACGCGCACTTCATATTGAGGGGAGAGGCCTTCGAGGAGACGGTAGATCTGAAGGTTTGGGGGGAGAGTAGTCTGGCGAGCCTCAAGGCGGGAGGCAAGGTCCAGGAGACGGCTGGTGTAGTCAACGGCGCCAGCACTATGTTCGATCGTGATGCTGAAGTATTCCTTGAAGAGCGGTCCGACAGCATCGAAGTCGGTGCGTTCGAACATTGCCTCAAGCTCGAGCCAGATCTGGCGGGAGCCGATGCGACGTGCCTAGAAGTTGCGCATGAGCGCAGACGGGATGGCAAGGAGAAGGGCACCAGTAGCACGGCTGTCCGCCTCGAGCCAGGCGCGACGACGCTCAGCAAATCGCGCAGAGTCAGCGGCATAAACGGCGGCGGTAGCGGCATGCTGGGTGCAGAGGGTTGCCGACCGCTCGTGTTCCTCCAACACGATCAGATAACTAGTATGGAGCACGAGGAACTCACGACGCTGAGTAAGGAAGAGCTGCTCAACTTCAGCGGTGGCAGCACGAGTGCTGGTGCCAACGGGTACCATGGGGGGCGGAGGTTCCTCGCCGGGATGGGGAATGAGAGGGGGGGGATCGCCAGGGTGAGGCGGCGGGTCCCCAAGGTCACCCTCTAGGAGACCAAGCATGATGTCCAGGAGGCGGAACGGCAGGACATAAGCACTGCCAAGGACGCGGTGGAGGCTGCCGACGAAGGAATACCAGTTGGTTGCTGAGTTGTCGGCAGCGCGCACGAGATGATCGAGGGTCGAGACGTCGACGGGAGGGGGAAAGGATGCCATTGGTGACACGGAGTGGGAGGAAGGCAACGGCGGGTGGACCCGCAGTGGCCGGGAGGGAGCGGCGGCGGGTGGACCCGCGGCGGCTCAAAGAGGAGGGGAGGATGGGGATGGCTGTAGATACTGCTGCTGCTGCTGCTGCTGCTGCTACTGCTGCTGCTGCTGCTGCTGCTGCTGCTGCTGCTGCTGCTGCTGCTGCTGCTGCTGCTGCTCCTTCTGCTGCTGCTGCTGCTGCTGTTGCTGTTGCTGCTGCTGCCGCTGCTGCTGCTGCCACTGCTGCTGCTAACGCTGTTGCTGCTGCTGCTGCTGCTGCTGCTCCTTCAGCTGCTGCTGCTGCTGCTGCTACTGTTGCTGCTGCTGCTGCTGAGTCTGCTGCTCCTTCTGGTGCTGCTGCTGCTTCTGCTGCTGCTGCTACGGCTGTAGCAGTGGTAAGGCGGCGATGAGCAGGTGCAGGTGAGGAGGCAAAAGATGGGGAAAGATGGCAGTTAGCGGATGAAAATAGGACTTGGTAGAAATTTCAGTAGCACTTCGTGATCACATCCAGGAAAGTGTGCAAACTTCGGAAAGCGATATCTTACAATCCAAGCGATGAAACAGTCCGAAATTTTACGACGTTGTAGCTGACACCAAGAGCGTTCTTTTGCAAGTTGAATCACTCAATTTTGTCAATTATCGAGTGAGCTATAGCGTTTGGCGCATTGGGGGTTTTTGAAAATCCACCCAACAGAAAACTAGTTGAGAGGCGGCGGCTAGGAGTCTAGCAGCGGCGATGGAGGGGACGACAATGAGGTGCACGTCGGAAGGGGACGGGGCGGAAGCGTGGGGAAGGATCGGGATTTAAAAATTGGCGTGAGCCATTATTGCTCTATACCATGTTAGAAACAGAAAGGTTCAGTTTATTGATGAAGCAAAGGCATTACATAGGAAGAGAGGGATGAGCTAGGAAGGGAAGGTTGGAAGGGAAAGGGGGGTTAGGACCAATTACAAGGGAGGGAGGGTCCTTCCAAATGTGGTTGACCACCAGTTGGAGGTGGTCCAAGTGTGGTGTACCACCAGTGGTTTAGCCAACCCACTTGTGGTGCCCCCACAATTGTGGTCCTTGTGTTTGGGGGCTCCAACCACAATTGGGTTGGATTGACACCCCAACACAGGTGTACACCCAACTAGGAATGTAAACACAATATACACAACTAGCATAGCATGGTATATTCTAACAGTTGCGACTGACCGTTACAACTGCAAGAATGGTAACCGAAGCGACAATCGAGTCGCTGTGCGACTCGATAAACCGCCATTCAACTGTATTCTATAACTGCTTGTTTTCTACTTTCTATATATTGCTGTATGCTTGTTCACTTTAATCAATCACTTGTTCTCATATACTAGTACAAGGGTTCAACTACTCAACTTCCGCTGCACTATTCCAGTCTCATTCTTCAACTGGGACCTAGTCTCTGGAAAGATCCTAAGGGCTTTTCTTAGCCCAATATGGTATGAGAGCTGGTCAGAGACCAAACTCCCAGCAACTACGCTCTATCCACAATCTGCACACCAACGACTTCATTGATTACAAGTTATGGACAGCAAGGGCAAGAAAATCTATACGGGCTCACCCAGCGCCCAAGACACTCAACCCGGCAACTCTGGATTGCACACTTCAGGACTGCAAACCGAGACCGGCGCTGCTCAAGAAACAACAGGAAGAGCACCGAAAATGGTGACCCCATCACCCTCTTCAAGCATGGATCCGAACCTTATGGAAAGGTTCTTCAGCTTCATGTCGCACTTCGACCAGCAGCAGCAGACAAGGACACCTGCGCACTCAACACAGAGCAACGGAGGAAACATGGGATTAGCGCCGATGAGTCTCGACAACTCATCGTTCGGGCGACATAATCAAGTGCCTACCTTTGCGCCTTATCACTCTTCACCGGAGACGTTCGAGTTCATGCCGCCCCGTGCCCAACCAACAGCAGCTGCATCACAACAAACACCAAACGAGATACTTAGTCTCCAGGCGCAGTTTTCACACGTGATCAAACTGCAGACATCCTCACCGTTCAACGGACACGACTTCTTTACCTGGAGCTTTGAATTCGAGCTGCTGATGGAGGCTGCGCATCTCTTGGGATACTTCAACGGGTCCCTGCCATTCCCAAGCAACGGCACTGGAAAAGAGCAAGAAATTTTCACGTATCAGTCGCTGCTGGCGTATACAGTTCTCCTGCGGAACCTGTCACCACAAGAACAACAGAGCATCAGAACGTATCGGAGCTACGGAAACTCCGCGGAACTCGCATGGCATCACCTCAAGTGTCTCTATCAAGCAAACGACAGCGTGACACAAAGCAGACTCATGCAGTAGCTGACAACAATACAGATGAAGACCGGGGAAAGGCGATGCAGTATATGAGTCGATGCCAAACACTCCGCGACCGCCTGCTTCGGTGCGGAGGAAAAATCACTAAAGAAAGCTTTGTGACGCTTGTCCTCGCTCGGCTCGGGCCAGAATGGCGAACCACCCGCTCCCTCCTTCGCGCCCACGGACGAATCTCGGAGATGCACCTCTGCGCCGAGCTCCATGCTGAACAACAGGACATGGACCTGTTTGAAGAAAGACAACCAAGGAAACAACAACCATTAGTCTTCTACACTCAACGAAGACACGACAACAACTACAACCGACGCGGCAGGCAAGATCAACGCGACAACAGAGGACTCACCATTGTACCACCGTTCTGCCACAACTGCCAAACATCCGGACACTCCAAAGTCAACTGTACACGTCCCCGAGCTTATCGCCCAGTAGACCCACAAGTCGCTTCCACTCAAGAAAGTCCGCCGAGGCGCTCTCCCACATCTGCACAAAATACACCAAACATCATTAACTGCATGGTACACATTGACAACTGCGCACCCGGATCACCGCCAACTTACGCTCCTGATGAAGAAGAACTACCGCCGCCTTGCTCACAAGGACTTCAGGTCAACCCGACATACGCTGCAGTCGCCAACGCCGAACCCACCGGACGAAACACCTGGTTCTTGGATAGCTGTTGCGGTCAACACATGTGTTCTTCCGGACGCTTCGTGCAACGAGAGCGACACCTCAACCGCGACGTCATAATCACCGTCGCCAACAACGAGAACCTGAAAACAAACAGACAAGGAGTGGTTCAGTTACAGTCCATGGAAACAAATTGTTAGAATATACCATGCTATGCTAGTTGTGTATATTGTGTTTACATCCCTAGTTGGGTGTACACCTGTGTTGGGGTGTCAATCCAACCCAATTGTGGTTGGAGCCCCCAAACACAAGGACCACAATTGTGAGGGCACCACAAGTGGGTTGGCTAAACCACTGGTGGTATACCACACTTGGACCACCTCCAACTGGTGGTCAACCACATTTGGAAGGATCCTCCCTCCCTTGTGATTGGTCCTAACCCCCCTTTCCCTTCCAACCTTCCCTTCCTAGCTCATCCCTCTCTTCCTATGTAATGCCTTTGCTTCATCAATAAACTGAACCTTTTCTGTTTCTAACACAAATGTCATCCTGCAACTCAACAAGGTTCTAATCGTCGACAACTTGGGATACAATCTGCTAAGCGTCAGCCAGCTAATGGCAAAAGGGATTCACTTGGAGTGCGACTCGGACTCCAACGAGTTTCGCCTTTACCACGGGAAGGGCGGCCTCTTCACCGGTCGTGCTCATCTGAAGTCCGGTGTCTTCATGTTGGACTTCGTCCCCGACCGCGGTACTGCCGACAGCGATGGCATCGTGTCGTTCGCAGCCTCGACGCACCCGCCAGATCTTGACCCCGACTTCACCCCAGATGGATTCTGGTACTCCAACACCATACCTGCAGCAGAAAGAACACGAGCGTTAGCAGTCATCAGACAAGAAAGACAAGTACCAGCAAGCGTCCCTTCCCAACCATCACCTGCAGTAGCAGCAGCAGGACCCAGCCGAATACCACGACCGGCGATCCGAGGACCGCCAACCGAAGCAGATCAACTTATCCCCATCACACGAGAAGTCTGCCGAAGTCCCGCCACGGTCGTCGCGTTCTTCTCCAACACCGACATGTACCAACGCTCGCGCGGCCATCGCGCTTCCGACGACATCTGGCACCAACGCCTTGGGCATCCTGCAAACAGCACGGTACTACAAACCATCCAAGCCGAAGTGTTAGAACGAAACGCTCTCCTTACAACAAGTGGCCAAGAACTACGACGACCTCGCGCACGATGCTTCACGTGCCCCGAAGCAGATCTTCCCCACCAACCTTTTACATCGCATCACAATCCGAGCGCACCTGCATACGCACCGATGGAAAAAGTTTACAGCGACATCTTAAACATGCCTCGAGACGACACTGAAGCCGACTTCAACTATGTCATCATGTTCATCGATGCAGCAACAAGATATGTTTGGCACTACAACCTCAAAACGCGAGACCAAGCCTTCAAAGCCTTCACGACATGGCTCCCCATCGCTGAACGAGAATCAGGAACTAAGCTAAAGAGTTTCCAATCCGACGGCGCACTGGAATACCAGTCACAACGATTCAGGACCTCCTTGGCGGAAAGAGGAATCAGACGCCTGGTGTCTCTACCCTACGCTCACCAGCAACAGGGGGTCGCAGAAAGAATGAACCGGACCTTACCACTGCTACGGCTGTAGCAGTGGTAAGGCGGCGATGAGCAGGTGCAGGTGAGGAGGCAAAAGATGGGGAAAGATGGCAGTTAGCTGATGAAAATAGGACTTGGTAGAAATTTCAGTAGCACTTCGTGATCACATCCAGGAAAGTCTGCAAACTTCGGAAAGCGATATCTTACAATCCAAGCGATGAAACAGTCCGAAATTTTACGACGTTGTAGCTGACACCAAGAGCGTTCTTTTGCAAGTCGAATCACTCAATTTTGTCAACTATCGAGTGAGCTATAGCGTTTGGCGCATTGGGGGTTTTTGAAAATCCACCCAACAGAAAACTAGTTGAGAGGCGGCGGCTAGGAGTCTAGCAGCGGCGATGGAGGGGACGACAATGAGGTGCACGTCGGAAGGGGACGGGGCGGAAGCGTGGGGAAGGATCGGGATTTAAAAATTGGCGTGAGCCATTATTGCTCTATACCATGTTAGAAACAGAAAGGTTCAATTTATTGATGAAGCAAAGGCATTACATAGGAAGAGAGGGATGAGCTAGGAAGGGAAGGTTGGAAGGGAAAGGGGGGTTAGGACCAATTACAAGGGAGGGAGGGTCCTTCCAAATGTGGTTGACCACCAGTTGGAGGTGGTCCAAGTGTGGTGTACCACCAGTGGTTTAGCCAACCCACTTGTGGTGCCCCCACAATTGTGGTCCTTGTGTTTGGGGGCTCCAACCACAATTGGGTTGGATTGACACCCCAACACAGGTGTACACCCAACTAGGAATGTAAACACAATATACACAACTAGCATAGCATGGTATATTCTAACAGTTGCGACTGACCGTTACAACTGCAAGAATGGTAACCGAAGCGACAATCGAGTCGCTGTGCGACTCGATAAACCGCCATTCAACTGTATTCTATAACTGCTTGTTTTCTACTTTCTATATATTGCTGTATGCTTGTTCACTTTAATCAATCACTTGTTCTCATATACTAGTACAAGGGTTCAACTACTCAACTTCCGCTGCACTATTCCAGTCTCATTCTTCAACTGGGACCTAGTCTCTGGAAAGATCCTAAGGGCTTTTCTTAGCCCAATATGGTATGAGAGCTGGTCAGAGACCAAACTCCCAGCAACTACGCTCTATCCACAATCTGCACACCAACGACTTCATTGATTACAAGTTATGGACAGCAAGGGCAAGAAAATCTATACGGGCTCACCCAGCGCCCAAGACACTCAACCCGGCAACTCTGGATTGCACACTTCAGGACTGCAAACCGAGACCGGCGCTGCTCAAGAAACAACAGGAAGAGCACCAAAAATGGTGACCCCATCACCCTCTTCAAGCATGGATCCGAACCTTATGGAAAGGTTCTTCAGCTTCATGCCGCACTTCGACCAGCAGCAGCAGACAAGGACACCTGCGCACTCAACACAGAGCAACGGAGGAAACATGGGATTAGCGCCGATGAGTCTCGACAACTCATCGTTCGGGCGACATAATCAAGTGCCTACCTTTGCGCCTTATCACTCTTCACCGGAGACGTTCGAGTTCATGCCGCCCCGTGCCCAACCAACAGCAGCTGCATCACAACAAACACCAAACGAGATACTTAGTCTCTAGGCGCAGTTTTCACACGTGATCAAACTGCAGACATCCTCACCGTTCAACGGACACGACTTCTTTACCTGGAGCTTTGAATTCGAGCTGCTGATGGAGGCTGCGCATCTCTTGGGATACTTCAACGGGTCCCTGCCATTCCCAAGCAACGGCACTGGAAAAGAGCAAGAAATTTTCACGTATCAGTCGCTGCTGGCGTATACAGTTCTCCTGCGGAACCTGTCACCACAAGAACAACAGAGCATCAGAACGTATCGGAGCTACGGAAACTCCGCGGAACTCGCATGGCATCACCTCAAGTGTCTCTATCAAGCAAACGACAGCGTGACACAAAGCAGACTCATGCAGTAGCTGACAACAATACAGATGAAGACCGGGGAAAGGCGATGCAGTATATGAGTCGATGCCAAACACTCCGCGACCGCCTGCTTCGGTGCGGAGGAAAAATCACTAAAGAAAGCTTTGTGACGCTTGTCCTCGCTCGGCTCGGGCCAGAATGGCGAACCACCCGCTCCCTCCTTCGCGCCCACGGACGAATCTCGGAGATGCACCTCTGCGCCGAGCTCCATGCTGAACAACAGGACATGGACCTGTTTGAAGAAAGACAACCAAGGAAACAACAACCATTAGTCTTCTACACTCAACGAAGACACGACAACAACTACAACCGACGCGGCAGGCAAGATCAACGCGACAACAGAGGACTCACCATTGTACCACCGTTCTGCCACAACTGCCAAACATCCGGACACTCCAAAGTCAACTGTACACGTCCCCGAGCTTATCGCCCAGTAGACCCACAAGTCGCTTCCACTCAAGAAAGTCCGCCGAGGCGCTCTCCCACATCTGCACAAAATACACCAAACATCATTAACTGCATGGTACACATTGACAACTGCGCACCCGGATCACCGCCAACTTACGCTCCTGATGAAGAAGAACTACCGCCGCCTTGCTCACAAGGACTTCAGGTCAACCCGACATACGCTGCAGTCGCCAACGCCGAACCCACCGGACGAAACACCTGGTTCTTGGATAGCTGTTGCGGTCAACACATGTGTTCTTCCGGACGCTTCGTGCAACGAGAGCGACACCTCAACCGCGACGTCATAATCACCGTCGCCAACAACGAGAACCTGAAAACAAACAGACAAGGAGTGGTTCAGTTACAGTCCATGGAAACAAATTGTTAGAATATACCATGCTATGCTAGTTGTGTATATTGTGTTTACATCCCTAGTTGGGTGTACACCTGTGTTGGGGTGTCAATCCAACCCAATTGTGGTTGGAGCCCCCAAACACAAGGACCACAATTGTGAGGGCACCACAAGTGGGTTGGCTAAACCACTGGTGGTACACCACACTTGGACCACCTCCAACTGGTGGTCAACCACATTTGGAAGGATCCTCCCTCCCTTGTGATTGGTCCTAACCCCCCTTTCCCTTCCAACCTTCCCTTCCTAGCTCATCCCTCTCTTCCTATGTAATGCCTTTGCTTCATCAATAAACTGAACCTTTTCTGTTTCTAACACAAATGTCATCCTGCAACTCAACAAGGTTCTAATCGTCGACAACTTGGGATACAATCTGCTAAGCGTCAGCCAGCTAATGGCAAAAGGGATTCACTTGGAGTGCGACTCGGACTCAACGAGTTTCGCCTTTACCACGGGAAGGGCGGCCTCTTCACCGGTCGTGCTCATCTGAAGTCCGGTGTCTTCATGTTGGACTTCGTCCCCGACCGCGGTACTGCCGACAGCGATGGCATCGTGTCGTTCGCAGCCTCGACGCACCCGCCAGATCTTGACCCCGACTTCACCCCAGATGGATTCTGGTACTCCAACACCATACCTGCAGCAGAAAGAACACGAGCGTTAGCAGTCATCAGACAAGAAAGACAAGTACCAGCAAGCGTCCCTTCCCAACCATCACCTGCAGTAGCAGCAGCAGGACCCAGCCGAATACCACGACCGGCGATCCGAGGACCGCCAACCGAAGCAGATCAACTTATCCCCATCACACGAGAAGTCTGCCGAAGTCCCGCCACGGTCGTCGCGTTCTTCTCCAACACCGACATGTACCAACGCTCGCGCGGCCATCGCGCTTCCGACGACATCTGGCACCAACGCCTTGGGCATCCTGCAAACAGCACGGTACTACAAACCATCCAAGCCGAAGTGTTAGAACGAAACGCTCTCCTTACAACAAGTGGCCAAGAACTACGACGACCTCGCGCACGATGCTTCACGTGCCCCGAAGCAGATCTTCCCCACCAACCTTTTACATCGCATCACAATCCGAGCGCACCTGCATACGCACCGATGGAAAAAGTTTACAGCGACATCTTAAACATGCCTCGAGACGACACTGAAGCCGACTTCAACTATGTCATCATGTTCATCGATGCAGCAACAAGATATGTTTGGCACTACAACCTCAAAACGCGAGACCAAGCCTTCAAAGCCTTCACGACATGGCTCCCCATCGCTGAACGAGAATCAGGAACTAAGCTAAAGAGTTTCCAATCCGACGGCGCACTGGAATACCAGTCACAACGATTCAGGACCTCCTTGGCGGAAAGAGGAATCAGACGCCTGGTGTCTCTACCCTACGCTCACCAGCAACAGGGGGTCGCAGAAAGAATGAACCGGACCTTACCACTGCTACGGCTGTAGCAGTGGTAAGGCGGCGATGAGCAGGTGCAGGTGAGGAGGCAAAAGATGGGGAAAGATGGCAGTTAGCTGATGAAAATAGGACTTGGTAGAAATTTCAGTAGCACTTCGTGATCACATCCAGGAAAGTCTGCAAACTTCGGAAAGCGATATCTTACAATCCAAGCGATGAAACAGTCCGAAATTTTACGACGTTGTAGCTGACACCAAGAGCGTTCTTTTGCAAGTCGAATCACTCAATTTTGTCAACTATCGAGTGAGCTATAGCGTTTGGCGCATTGGGGGTTTTTGAAAATCCACCCAACAGAAAACTAGTTGAGAGGCGGCGGCTAGGAGTCTAGCAGCGGCGATGGAGGGGACGACAATGAGGTGCACGTCGGAAGGGGACGGGGCGGAAGCGTGGGGAAGGATCGGGATTTAAAAATTGGCGTGAGCCATTATTGCTCTATACCATGTTAGAAACAGAAAGGTTCAGTTTATTGATGAAGCAAAGGCATTACATAGGAAGAGAGGGATGAGCTAGGAAGGGAAGGTTGGAAGGGAAAGGGGGGTTAGGACCAATTACAAGGGAGGGAGGGTCCTTCCAAATGTGGTTGACCACCAGTTGGAGGTGGTCCAAGTGTGGTGTACCACCAGTGGTTTAGCCAACCCACTTGTGGTGCCCCCACAATTGTGGTCCTTGTGTTTGGGGGCTCCAACCACAATTGGGTTGGATTGACACCCCAACACAGGTGTACACCCAACTAGGAATGTAAACACAATATACACAACTAGCATAGCATGGTATATTCTAACAGTTGCGACTGACCGTTACAACTGCAAGAATGGTAACCGAAGCGACAATCGAGTCGCTGTGCGACTCGATAAACCGCCATTCAACTGTATTCTATAACTGCTTGTTTTCTACTTTCTATATATTGCTGTATGCTTGTTCACTTTAATCAATCACTTGTTCTCATATACTAGTACAAGGGTTCAACTACTCAACTTCCGCTGCACTATTCCAGTCTCATTCTTCAACTGGGACCTAGTCTCTGGAAAGATCCTAAGGGCTTTTCTTAGCCCAATATGGTATGAGAGCTGGTCAGAGACCAAACTCCCAGCAACTACGCTCTATCCACAATCTGCACACCAACGACTTCATTGATTACAAGTTATGGACAGCAAGGGCAAGAAAATCTATACGGGCTCACCCAGCGCCCAAGACACTCAACCCGGCAACTCTGGATTGCACACTTCAGGACTGCAAACCGAGACCGGCGCTGCTCAAGAAACAACAGGAAGAGCACCGAAAATGGTGACCCCATCACCCTCTTCAAGCATGGATCCGAACCTTATGGAAAGGTTCTTCAGCTTCATGCCGCACTTCGACCAGCAGCAGCAGACAAGGACACCTGCGCACTCAACACAGAGCAACGGAGGAAACATGGGATTAGCGCCGATGAGTCTCGACAACTCATCGTTCGGGCGACATAATCAAGTGCCTACCTTTGCGCCTTATCACTCTTCACCGGAGACGTTCGAGTTCATGCCGCCCCGTGCCCAACCAACAGCAGCTGCTTCACAACAAACACCAAACGAGATACTTAGTCTCCAGGCGCAGTTTTCACACGTGATCAAACTGCAGACATCCTCACCGTTCAACGGACACGACTTCTTTACCTGGAGCTTTGAATTCGAGCTGCTGATGGAGGCTGCGCATCTCTTGGGATACTTCAACGGGTCCCTGCCATTCCCAAGCAACGGCACTGGAAAAGAGCAAGAAATTTTCACGTATCAGTCGCTGCTGGCGTATACAGTTCTCCTGCGGAACCTGTCACCACAAGAACAACAGAGCATCAGAACGTATCGGAGCTACGGAAACTCCGCGGAACTCGCATGGCATCACCTCAAGTGTCTCTATCAAGCAAACGACAGCGTGACACAAAGCAGACTCATGCAGTAGCTGACAACAATACAGATGAAGACCGGGGAAAGGCGATGCAGTATATGAGTCGATGCCAAACACTCCGCGACCGCCTGCTTCGGTGCGGAGGAAAAATCACTAAAGAAAGCTTTGTGACGCTTGTCCTCGCTCGGCTCGGGCCAGAATGGCGAACCACCCGCTCCCTCCTTCGCGCCCACGGACGAATCTCGGAGATGCACCTCTGCGCCGAGCTCCATGCTGAACAACAGGACATGGACCTGTTTGAAGAAAGACAACCAAGGAAACAACAACCATTAGTCTTCTACACTCAACGAAGACACGACAACAACTACAACCGACGCGGCAGGCAAGATCAACGCGACAACAGAGGACTCACCATTGTACCACCGTTCTGCCACAACTGCCAAACATCCGGAGACTCCAAAGTCAACTGTACACGTCCCCGAGCTTATCGCCCAGTAGACCCACAAGTCGCTTCCACTCAAGAAAGTCCGCCGAGGCGCTCTCCCACATCTGCACAAAATACACCAAACATCATTAACTGCATGGTACACATTGACAACTGCGCACCCGGATCACCGCCAACTTACGCTCCTGATGAAGAAGAACTACCGCCGCCTTGCTCACAAGGACTTCAGGTCAACCCGACATACGCTGCAGTCGCCAACGCCGAACCCACCGGACGAAACACCTGGTTCTTGGATAGCTGTTGCGGTCAACACATGTGTTCTTCCGGACGCTTCGTGCAACGAGAGCGACACCTCAACCGCGACGTCATAATCACCGTCGCCAACAACGAGAACCTGAAAACAAACAGACAAGGAGTGGTTCAGTTACAGTCCATGGAAACAAATTGTTAGAATATACCATGCTATGCTAGTTGTGTATATTGTGTTTACATCCCTAGTTGGGTGTACACCTGTGTTGGGTGTCAATCCAACCCAATTGTGGTTGGAGCCCCCAAAACACAAGGACCACAATTGTGAGGGCACCACAAGTGGGTTGGCTAAACCACTGGTGGTACACCACACTTGGACCACCTCCAACTGGTGGTCAACCACATTTGGAAGGATCCTCCCTCCCTTGTGATTGGTCCTAACCCCCCTTTCCCTTCCAACCTTCCCTTCCTAGCTCATCCCTCTCTTCCTATGTAATGCCTTTGCTTCATCAATAAACTGAACCTTTTCTGTTTCTAACACAAATGTCATCCTGCAACTCAACAAGGTTCTAATCGTCGACAACTTGGGATACAATCTGCTAAGCGTCAGCCAGCTAATGGCAAAAGGGATTCACTTGGAGTGCGACTCGGACTCAACGAGTTTCGCCTTTACCACGGGAAGGGCGGCCTCTTCACCGGTCGTGCTCATCTGAAGTCCGGTGTCTTCATGTTGGACTTCGTCCCCGACCGCGGTACTGCCGACAGCGATGGCATCGTGTCGTTCGCAGCCTCGACGCACCCGCCAGATCTTGACCCCGACTTCACCCCAGATGGATTCTGGTACTCCAACACCATACCTGCAGCAGAAAGAACACGAGCGTTAGCAGTCATCAGACAAGAAAGACAAGTACCAGCAAGCGTCCCTCCCAACCATCACCTGCAGTAGCAGCAGCAGGACCCAGCCCGAATACCACGACCGGCGATCCGAGGACCGCCAACCGAAGCAGATCAACTTATCCCCATCACACGAGAAGTCTGCCGAAGTCCCGCCACGGTCGTCGCGTTCTTCTCCAACACCGACATGTACCAACGCTCGCGCGGCCATCGCGCTTCCGACGACATCTGGCACCAACGCCTTGGGCATCCTGCAAACAGCACGGTACTACAAACCATCCAAGCCGAAGTGTTAGAACGAAACGCTCTCCTTACAACAAGTGGCCAAGAACTACGACGACCTCGCGCACGATGCTTCACGTGCCCCGAAGCAGATCTTCCCCACCAACCTTTTACATCGCATCACAATCCGAGCGCACCTGCATACGCACCGATGGAAAAAGTTTACAGCGACATCTTAAACATGCCTCGAGACGACACTGAAGCCGACTTCAACTATGTCATCATGTTCATCGATGCAGCAACAAGATATGTTTGGCACTACAACCTCAAAACGCGAGACCAAGCCTTCAAAGCCTTCACGACATGGCTCCCCATCGCTGAACGAGAATCAGGAACTAAGCTAAAGAGTTTCCAATCCGACGGCGCACTGGAATACCAGTCACAACGATTCAGGACCTCCTTGGCGGAAAGAGGAATCAGACGCCTGGTGTCTCTACCCTACGCTCACCAGCAACAGGGGGTCGCAGAAAGAATGAACCGGACCTTACCACTGCTACGGCTGTAGCAGTGGTAAGGCGGCGATGAGCAGGTGCAGGTGAGGAGGCAAAAGATGGGGAAAGATGGCAGTTAGCTGATGAAAATAGGACTTGGTAGAAATTTCAGTAGCACTTCGTGATCACATCCAGGAAAGTCTGCAAACTTCGGAAAGCGATATCTTACAATCCAAGCGATGAAACAGTCCGAAATTTTACGACGTTGTAGCTGACACCAAGAGCGTTCTTTTGCAAGTCGAATCACTCAATTTTGTCAACTATCGAGTGAGCTATAGCGGTTG